AAGAGGGACACCCAAGGGACGATGCTGAAAGGGAAAAGTGGAAAATGCACCTCTTCAGGCGTGGCCACAAAGTTGATTGCGGTGTAGTAACGATCGTCCTCCTGGGACAGGCTGAAGGTGAACTGATAGTCGATGAGGAGAGTGTCTGTAAGGAACACAGGGACACGGTTATCCCACCTCCTGGAATAAAACAACTCCTGCAGAGCAAGGCATGATGCCACTGAAGGGATTTTTGGACAACTAGGAACCACCACGGTGTTAGGAACGACCCCCAGGCAATGTATGATGCCACACAAGGGGCAAAAAACCCTGGAGGGGGAAAGAGGTGGCTCAGATTTGCCAGCCAAGAGTTGTTCTGAATGGAAGTTCATGCCTAAATATTGTAAAAACACACTGTAAAAAATGTGCCAAGATATTGACTTTTCCAACCTGCAACACCTCCATGATCTAAAGGGACAGCAGGAAAATTAAAGGGATGTGCAATTCCCACTTGGCAGGGGACAAAGTTCCCCCTCATGACAAGTTTCTGTGCATCTGTGGACTTTACTGGGAGGATTTTTACAGAGCAGCTGGTTGTTGATGGATTCAGCTCCCATCTTGCCTGGAATACATCCCACCCAGGCATTCCAGGAGCAGTTTTTGGTCTGCCTGGATGTCCTTCCATGNTGCCTGGAATACATCCCACCCAGGCATTCCAGGAGCAGTTTTTGGTCTGCCTGGATGTCCTTCCATGCTCATGTTTGCTTGGGCTGGGGGATAATCAACAGCCAGTTTTGGGGATGCATCCACCAGTCTCAGCATCCTTATTTATGCTGACATTTATTATGACTTGAACACCATATTCTGACTTGTCCACATTCCTGAAGCTGTGCAAGAACATTCCAAGCAATGAGGAATAGGAAATTATACACCAGGTGCTATTTTTCTCTCTCTGCCTCCTGGAGATCCCCTGTGGATAGAGAAAGCCAGACAACCTGATGTCTATCCACAGTGGAGCACCAGGAAATCTTCAAGGAATGAAACCAAGCCAGGCTGGATCTGTACAGCACAAGATTCTTCCTGCAAGAGTTGGAATATTCTGCCTTTTCCCTGTTTTTTTGTCCATTTTACCAACCCTGCAACGAATCTGGTCATCCTTGCACAGAGATTGTCATGAGGAGACACCAATGGCCTCGTTTGGCCACACGAGCAGAACCCAAATTAGCCAAAACCTGCCCATTGAGCATTTCTGTGCTGGACAAACCCACCGTTGGTGACTTCATGGAATTCAAGATTCCATCTCTCCACCCCTGCCAGGCTGCTGCTCATTGCTAATATTTGCAAACACAACCTGGAGAGTTTCCACCAAGTAAGTCGAGTCTTGGCAAAGGATCTCCTGGAATTGCACGGGAATCCAACTGCTCCATTCCGAGGAAACGTGGCAGTTCTGAAGCCCGTTTTAACAAGGATCAGAATTTAAAATAAAGAGCATTTTGCACTTATAAAAACTCTTCGGGTTTTATCTATTTGAGAGTGTTCTCCAAAAGACCAGATTTCATCTCAGTCACGTGAGAAACATCCAAAACTTTGTTCAAACGCTCCAATCATCACACAGACCTTATCAAGAAAAGCATTTTCATTCTCTTTAAACAATACTTTTCAGAAAAATTAAGCTTTTTTCGAGCTGTTTTTCAGTCCTTCCCTTAATCCCCCATATTTTAAACACAGGCTAAGACAACTGAAACAAAGTGTTTTAAACTTCAAGCACATTTTTTTATCTGCAAACACAATCCCAGAGGTACTCACAGTAACACGTTCCTTTGAGAGGATTTCCCTGATATCTGTTTTCGACTTCACACCTAAAAAAGAAAACACATTTTTTAATAAATGGGGTTTTTTGTTTTGTTTTTTTTTTTGGTAGTTTTATTTATTCCCAGCCACTAAAATATATCAGAAAACACAACCTGTGCTGATAACAGCAATGATTAAAGATCAACGTCTGAGCTGTGCTGGGCTCGAAATTCCACGTTCTCTGCGAGTCAAACTTGTACAGAATAAAAAATGAAACACAAAATTCTGGATATCAACCTTTGCATCCACTTGGAAGGTATTTATTAGCTCTTCACAAAGCATGGAACTGGATTAGCTCAGTCAAAAACTAATTCCCATTTACATTTATGGCTATTCCAGGATCTCTCCGACGAAAGTTCGCTCGCGCGAGCGACGCTCTCAAAAATAAACCTGGCAATGAAATCCTTTGGAATTAAATTATTTCCACTAACACTGCACTAAAAGCATTTCTGTTTCGTTACAGAGAAACCTCCAGCAAATTTGTTGCTCTAAAACCGCTCCATTAAACCGCCTGAATGTCAAAGGCTCATTTTCAGGGATATTTACGC